ATAGGTAGGAGATCAGCATATCACTCTTGCTAGACCTGTTGGACCCATGCGTTGCATGACAAAGTCCATGGCCATAAGGGCTGCCCTGTTTCCACTCCATTATAAACGTGGAAATTCTTGTGACAATAGCCTTAAGTCCTCAATTTCCTGCTACAGAAACAGATCTTTACCCCTTTAGCTGAAGAAGAAGTTTGTTAAGATATATAAGATAATATAAATAAGATAATAAGCAGTGATATATACTCAGTTTTGATCAGCTAAGAGATGACCAGATCTGGACTTTTTTTTTTACAATGTTAGTTGTTTGTGAACTATGATTTAAGCCTCATTATCTCTTCATTCACCACCCTTCAGTATTCTGCCAGTTCTTTTGCTCTCTGTACTGGGAATTAATGAAAAGAATCAGATGATGTGGCTGTCTGTGATAGCATAGGATTGTCCATAATGGCTGATATTGGTATCTCCTGTACAATGTTGTGAGGTTAAGTAAAAAATTCAGCATGCTATACCACAGCCCATTAAGAAATTTAATTCTCGCATCACCCAGGGCAACACCTTTCATTTGTTTTTCATCTTTTCATCAGAGAATGTCAGAATTGACATAAAGGCTGTCAGGTGTGAACATGGGTCAAAATTTCAGAAATGAGGTCTCAAACCTACTAACTTAAGGAGTTCCTCCTTCTTACCTTTGCCCTCAGAAGCAATAAGGAATATTAACTGGTACCAAACAACATCAAATTTTAGGAGGCTTTTAAAAACTAACAGAAAGTTATGACTGACATATATAGCTGAATACTCATGCAATCTGCTGACACAGTAGTTCTAGACTCCTCCGATAATAGGACTCTCATTGACTTCGGATTAAACTGTGAAGCAAGGTCTCAGGTCTTCTAAGAATCAGGCCCTACAGACCTTGCCCTACAGACAATCACAGATCTGTGATTGTCTACATGTTTAGGAAGTTCTCACATTTTTCTGGGATGGTTTGGCTCATAAATTGGTTTATAATCACCCGTGATATTTTATTTACAGTATTAGTATAGCTACGAGAGTATTAATTTTTTCTCTGTGATAGTTTAGTGTAATTCATGCCTTGCTTTTAATTGCTGGATCAAATTACTTAGCATATTATTTCATGCCACATCCCAAGACAGAGAAGTCCAGAAAGGTACCTGTATGCCTAGCCTTTCCAAAAAAAAAGGGTGACTCAAAGGTAATTTGCCAAACAAAATGTTCTTCTGTTCTCGGAGCATAATTTTAAGAGGCAGAGGGCCAAATAAATACAGTATGTAAGTAAATGCAAATCCAGTAAAATGAAAAGGATTGTACCTATTTACTTCTGGAATGACTGGCCATCTTGGCCTAGATGAATCGAGTGGCACTGGCTTTCTTTAATTAACACTGACGTTAACATTAAAAGGGAAAATGCTGAAACATAATTAAGAGTTGGCATTTAGCCATCTTGCAAGACAGAGAACAAAGGACAGGATCTGCGGTCTGCTGTCTCCAGTTTCCCTGACTCGCACCAGTCTACGTTCTCCCTGCAGCTGGCGGAACCAAGCAAGCACAAAGGTGAGCTTCAAGCTGCCCCCAAGCAAAGTTATGTGCTACAAGTGTCCTTGCTTCTGCTGCCGTCTCCCATCCAAGCTGAAAAGATCTGTCCTGCCATTTAAACCTGCATAACAGCCAGCTTCACCTCTGGGGTGAAGGATTCAATCCTCTGGGGATTCAGATTCAAGCAGAAGGCAGAAAGCTGCCAGGCGGGCAGGAAGTCGGCTGCCTCGTGGCAGGTACTGTGGGAACGGCCAAGCAGGTGGCTAGGGGTGGCAGAGCAGTGGGCAGAGCTGCAGAGAGGGCCATGAAGCACAAGAAGGCTGTCAGCTGCAAGGGTGCACGATTCCTCAGTCCGCCCCAGCCTGGCCCAGCCCCTCCAGCTGGGACGAGGGCCTGGGCTGCTGATGCACAAACACTCCTCTCCCCCAGCTATCTCCTCGCTGCCCGTCGCCCAACACCAGAGCAGGCTGGTGGCAATTATGGTGCATGCAGATCCCCCATGCCCCAGCCTGTTGTTTGCCAGGGCAGTAGATGTGGGGAGGTTCCCCGTGTGCTGCGGTGCGGCCTCTAACCCAGTGGTACAGGGAGCCTGTGGGACATGCCAGCCTGGCTCCTGCAATAGCAGCTGTGACCTTGGCCACCGTGGGAAGCAGGTTACTGGGCTACATGGATTTGTGTCCTGACCCCGTCCTTATGTTCTTAAGATTAAGCAGACATGCTGTCCTAGAGAATCTGGTCCTTCGTGACCTCTCCTTAAATAACTGCTTTACACATAAGCAGTTAATTAATTTTAGAATAACCTATTAAAGAGTATAAAATATATTCCCATCATAGCTAAATGTCATCTCCTGTAAAAACAAAAGTAATTCAGCAAATAAAAACCCTGTAAAAATAGCACTTGGCGAAGTATATTTTTAAACTTCCACTGATGTTTATTTTTGAAGCCCTGAAATTTAATTCATGTGTTGAATAAATACCCTTCAGATATTTTATCTAGTTATTATTCACATCACAAAGGGTAATATGGTCTCTTCTGTTCTTTTTGCTACATCAAAAATAACTATGGCCATTCCTTCAGACACTGATGGGTTAGCATTTCCCTATAGGACAATGGGAGGGTGAAAACAGAAGAGGGGAAATTGACGTCACATCATTGCTACCGAGAAGCGTGTACTGTGCTATCTGTTTCAGCACTGTGATACACCAAGTTTAAAGCAAAACGGATTCATAGCAAAAGGACATCCGTCATGAATTGTTGCCATAATATGCTACCATAAGGTATGCCAGGACTGGTGTGCTGTCAGAGGCAGTCATCTTATAAAATACATCCCCACTGTAACAAGCATAGAAATTCCATATCTGCGAGTCGTTAAATGGTAGCTGTGTGCATATCCAAAGATGCTGTCACTGATGCAGAGCATTTGTGTAGCAGTAAATAAAGCAGTCCCTTTAATCCTTCTGCTTGCTAGGTAAATAATATGAAAAAGCAGTACACATAAGCAATGTTAAAAATGTGTGTGGCATTAGGAAGAAATGTACCTTAACAGCAATGATATTTGCAAGAAGATAAAAGGATCTGCAAAAAGGGGGAAGTGAGGAAGAATCCCCCCTGAAGGAGCTGCACAGACTGGCCAGCCACCTCTTCGATGGTCCATGCAGGGGCCCTCCTTAGGCCGGCTGTTCAAATTACCCACATCTCTTCTAGGCGAAAATTAAAGCTGAATTGTATTGTTGGAACACTGTTCCTCCTCTTTAGACGCAGGAGGTACATCGGTACATCTATGCTGTGCAGCCATGGACTAATCAGCCAGCCTTGGTTAAGGCACTAGTGGCAGTGTAGCTGTGGCAGCAGACTTGGTGTAGCTTGCAAAGCCATGTAGGAGATGAGGGAACACCTATGTCACTGTCTGTGTCGAGCAGCATACTCCTGTAACTACAGCATTTGCAATAATCAAGATGGCTATTTTAAAGCTAGTTCAGACCTGCCTGTACAAACTGCAGAACAGAAATAGCTTGCAGGCAGCTCTGCTTTAACCTGTTTATCTGTCAGTGTTTTCTATCTCATAATCATATTGTAGAGTGAATAGGAGGCCTAGCTGAGCTGGCTAAATGGTCCTCCACCTCACTGTCCCTCATTTCAATGTATATTACCCGTTGGCACTTCTTGGTATTGTAGACTGATGAGACCAGCTTTGATGTGAAGACTAAGCAGATGTACAAGTCACTAACAGGTTTATTTAAGAGAGAGGCAATTTCTGTCTTTTGACGGGACAGGCAAAACTACTCAGTGACCCTTGCCATCTAGGGGCAAATAGTGTCAGTCTTTTCTTAGAAGAGACAGAAGTCCCTCTCACAGACAAACACAACTGTCATGTTAAGCCTTCCTCATGGCAGTCTCAACAGAAAACTCAGCCAGGCTGGATGCAAAATCTAATCTTTACTCACAATAAGAACAACTGTGCAGAAGGTGACAGCTGTGTAGGAGCTGGAGGGAAACAGGGAGATAGATGTCTGTGTCTAGTAAAACTGGGCACTGTTCTGATGGGAATGGTGAGGCTTAGGCTACTATTCTGGGCCCTCCTACATGCGTAATGAGGTGAAATGTGATCTCTTGAAGCCCAGACATGAAAAGGGTCTGGTTTCTGTGATACTGAGTTGAAGCTGTTCAATACGTTCATCAGTGATGTGGATGATGACGCAGAAAGCCTCTCCAGCAAATCTACAAATCACACTAAATAAGGGAGAATGGCCTACACAGCGAATGGCAGGGCTTCAATCCAGAAGGACCTCAAGACACTTGAGGTTCAAGCCAGCAGCCACTCCATGAGGTTCAGCCAGAAGTGCAGCAGTTGGGATAACCCGAAGCACCTGTACAGGCCTGGGAAAGACTAGCTGGGTTGCAGCCCTGCTGCAAAGGACTTGAGGGGTTGCAGTGGACTACAGGCTGAGCCAGCAGGGCACTCCCCTCGTGAATAAGGCAACCTGCTTGCTGAGCTGCATTAACAGAAGAGTGGCCAGCACTCTTTTTTTATTCCTGTCTCCTCAGTGCTGGTGAGGTTGCACCTGGAATGGAGCCCAGTTCGGTTCAAGAGGGAATTTGGGAATCTGGTTCAGTGAAAGTCGATCAAGATGAAGAGGGCCTAGAGGACCTGACCTGCAAGAAAAGGCTTAGGGAGCTGGTGTTATTTAATCATATGAAAGGGAGGCAAAAGAATAATCTAATAGTGAGCTACAACTACCCAAAGAGGACTTAACAGAGCCAAAACAGAGCTAAATTATTCTTGGTGGTGATAGATGATATAAAAAGGGGCAATGGCTAAAAACTGTGCTTTGCGAGGGTAGGAAAATTTCTTTGCAGTGCAACACTGGAGCAGGTTATCCAGGGAGGCTGAGGAATCTCAGCCTTGGAGGTTTTCAAGACTCATCCAGGCAAAGCCACAGCTGACCTGATCTAGTCTTGGTGACAATCCTGATCAGACGAAAGACTTCCAGGCTCCCTTCAGTCAGCATTTCTGTAATTCCAAGGTTACGTGATTCTACACATTGGGCACATGAGTGGTGTCCCAGTCACAGAGGGGCAAAGAGATCAGAGATAGTGAGCAGGTAAAATCCCTGTAGACAGCAGATCTGCAGATGAAATATATAGGAGCAAGTTATTAGTATTACTTGTTACTTTTTAGCCACAGAAAGCAACAACTGTACTTAGAATGACTTTACATGGCCGTACAACCCTAAATCCTGCAAGCACGCAGCAGGGTTACAGTATTCTAGAGAAAGTGTCCGAAAGAGTGGGGCAACGAGCAATCCTGTCACAGATCTGGGCACTGAGCAGAAGTGAATTGCGAGCTCTTTGCATGTCTGTTCTTTCCCTGTGCGCAGAGCAGGGTAAAAAGCGGCCTGAGGCAAGGAGAAGAGGGCATCATTAACGAGACTTGGGTTTGACTGGAACTGGAATCCTTTTAGTGAGGTGCTAAGTATATGTCCCCTCCCTTCTCCTGTCAGCAGTGTCCCTGCAATGCTGCGGTACCTGTCTGTGCTGTGCTGCGAGCGCCAGGTTGCTCCTCCTGTTCCTCACATGCTGACCAAGCCTCTGTCCTGACTTGTTGCCCCTGGGCTTTGACAAGGCAGTGGGAGCAGCGGGTCCACACATGGCCCACAGGGCAGTGAGTCCCATGCTGGGCAGGATTTAGCCCATGAAGTGCTCTCCTGCTGTATAAGGAGCACCTCGGAAAGAGGGCTGAGTGACCTGGAGGAAGGATCTGCTACTCCTCATTTCAAAAATCTCTTTTTGAAGCCTGCAAAGCAATGTAAGACACAAAGGGTAAGCTTCGTCTGCTTCAGTTTCTGTCTTTTGGGGGTTTTGTTATACACCACGTGACTGTGGGCATACTGCCTAGTTTGTGATGAGGAAAGGCAGCTGCTCCCTCCAGGTCATTTCTGACATAACATGATGAAGCAAGCAGTGCGTTGTACCTGGGCTGTGAACAAACAGGGGATCTCAGTTTCCAGTTGACAAATACATCCATCCACTTAGGGTTTTTTATTTTTCTAATCTGGGGAGCAAATCTCCCATTACAGTGTATTCTCCATGTCCCCAGGCCCACATATATTTTCCAGCAGCTCGCCTCAGCATTCCACATTATAAAATCAATCTCTATTTAAGTAAGAGGAGGATATTTATTTCTTAATTTTTTAATAATGTATTTTGTGATTTGTTACAGCTCTCAGTGTTGTATTATTTATTTATTATGCCTATAGGGTGCCTTGCCACATGGTAATAGAGGAGGTAGAGGAATTAGAGACCTAAGCAAAACCAAGTTCAATAATTTTGCTGCACTGTAGGACTTGGGCTAAAATTAACAAAAGAGCAAAACTATAATGCAGTGACAATACCATAGTGTTTTTGCTCCAGAGTTTGTACTAAGCCAATGAAAGTAAGCTAAAAATACAGAAAGATCAATCATCACTGAAAGCAAAAATCAGAACTGGATCTTAATATAGCTCCCATGGTACTTCAGAATCCTATGAAGGAGTTATTTATTCCGGAGTTCTTGTAAGTTAATTGTAAATTTGCATAGATACCTGAATGAAACAAATATCAAAGTTTCCTTTTCCTTTCTTGTCTTCTCTCTGCAAAGATGATTCTCTTTCAAAATACATTCAGAAATCCTCAGCTCAGAGAAAGGAGGCTTGCTTTAGCTTACAAAATACATTTTTATTAGGTGATGTTTCAGCCCGGTTCATTCAGTGGCAAAGCTTTCATCAGCTTCAATAGGGGTAGGGTTTAACCAAGTTAATTTATCACTGAAATCTGAAAAGCTGAAAAGCAAGAGTCTTAGGCCTTGTCTACATTGTATGCTAACCCTCAGGAAAGTCATGGTTATACCTGATGAGGCATGATAGCTACTGCACGCCTGCCTTGTCCATGTTCGTACACTGCTGTTATGCATCCATCTGAACAAGGGTTGCGTACAGTGCAATAAACACTGCCGTTATCTGGGCTCATAGCCCAAGGTTCACAGCCTTGCACTTGCTGGCTCACAGTGCACTCTCATTCTCCACACGCCAGCAGATGAGCACTCCCCTCTTGGGACCTAGGGCTGGGCAGACTGCTGCCCAGGAGGCTACCCCGCTTGTGAGGTGGGCATATAATGTTAGATGCCGTTAATATGTATCCTTGGCTGAAGTTCCTGCTTTTTGTGGGGACAGCGCTGGTCATCCACACCCCTCCACAAACAAGTGCCAGAAGGCATTATGATAGGTGTATCTCAGAGGTGACTTTAGAGCCAATGAAGAAAGAAGCAGCAGTTGACAGTAAGTAGTGACCATAGCAACAGCTGATGGGTCCATGGGGAACAGAGGCCTGAATCAAGGAAAAGAGCTGCTTTTATTAGTGGGAGCTTCCTATGCAGAGCCAGGGCTATACACGGGACCCCACCAAACTGAAAACAAGTGTGACCAGCAGTGACTGAGAACAGTTGCATGAAGAAAGGCAAAGCATTATATTAGGACCCTCCCTCAGCAAGCTGAATGAACGAGCCAATAATGATCCTATAATATATTGCTCTTGTGTTGTGGGAACTGGCAACCGCAGGCACACAAACCTAATTAGCTCAGGCAAACCAACCTGCTGACAGGGCTGGACTCCTTCCACTGCGCTGAATGACAAAGCAATCATTACTGGACTGTCCAGGCCAGCTCAGATTAGGGATGATCCAATACACACTCTACTGCTCCAGCTGATGAGACTTTAACCTTATGTGCCTCGGAGAAGAGGCAGTTTGACTGCAGCACTTAGGAAGTGCAGGTTGTCTGTGCGATGCACCGTTGGCAGTACCTACATGGTGGTGCTAACAGCTTAACTTGTTTGACTGTTGTGTTCTTTAAATTGCATATGCAGTTGGGTAACACTAGGTGTTTCACATTGGTTGGGGAAATAAGGTGGAGCGGTCTGAGATAGACTGCGTTGTTAAAAATTACGAATGAGGACTTAATTACGGACAACCAACAAATGAGCCTGATGGTGCCACAGGACATGCTACAGCAAAGGAAATAATGGAGGCCATTTTCACTGCATGTTTGAGGTGCAGAGTGAGTCCGGTGTGGCTGACTAACGGGACTGTCTGGCAGTTCTGGGCTATTGGGCAGATGGGAATGCAATAAAGCTAGTGTCTAAAACTTAGATGTAGTGTTTTTGTATGTATGAAAAAATAAAAATCCTTTCTCTTCCAATTTATAAAAAAGAGTCTTATGGAAAAGCAGGTTGCCAAAACCTGTGAAAATTTCTGCTGTCTTTTTTACTGATTATGACAATACAAATCATCATCTGACATCCTTCTTGGTGCACTGGATGTGGTCTAGGGAGGAGCTGGAGCTGCCGGGAATTGGCAGTTTATTGATTGTTTCCCTCAGGAACCATTTACCAGACTTAGCAAAGCTTGTTAAGGTGGAGGTGATTCAAATTTCTCAAGGTTTGACTGTCTGGCTCACAAACTTAAATTCCTCTGATATTTTTGTGAAACTCCATGCCTCATTCCCTCCTCTCAAGGTCGTGTTAGATGTATTTTTGGCTGTTGCGTCTTCTCTTTTGTTTCTCCAAGTCCATGAACACTCCTGGCCTCCACAGGTATATCCTTTTTCAGCACTATTTCTCTGTTGCTGTGAATCCTGTCACTGACCATGACAGTGGTCTCAGCTGCCAGTCCCGAGTGTCATACTTCAGGATTTACTCCATAAGTCCACTGTGAAATCTCTGCCTGTTGAACTTTTCTGTGCTGATTCAGATATCAGAATAATATGAGGACCAATTATTTGGGTTTTTTTCTGCCTTCTGGAGCTCATGAAATGATGAATAATTAGGCAGAGATTTCAAATTCCAGCAGCAAAAGAGTGAGGAATCTCAAATCCTACCTGGAATATTTAATTAGAGGCATTCATATTGCAAACCCATGCTCATCCTGGCTCTGTTGATGGGTTGGTGCTGAAAAGGGCTTCTTCACTTACGTGGCTGCTCAGAAGTCAACACGGTTCATTGCAGAACTGATTGATTGCTGGTAATCACAGGCTTCTGGGACATCGTCTTGACTCTTTGTCTTCTCTCTCTCTTCTCCTGAGAAATTTGCTTGTCTTCATTCGCTTTGGCTTCAAGTTGCACAGTGGTCATAAGATGCTCTCTCCACCATACACTAGTGCATAAGTATTTTAAGGACAATTGTTCTGCATCAAATATAGGGCGAACTTGAGAACTGCAGTTTGGGTGAAACGACATATGTTAAGCAAGGGGATAAGAGGCCTACGTTGCAATGTCTAGGCTTCAAGACACAGAAGATCAATGTTACAGGGCCAAGTGGTACAAAGAATAGTATCCATTGCATTTATAGGCTTATGTTTGAGGTGGATGTCCATGCCTATTGATAACCTCCATATTCTTCTTACTGATAGAGACAACCTGCCTCAGCAGTGTGGTAATTATCTAGCTACAGGACTAGACACCTGGTGTGAACATGTACTGTAGGAAGGAAGAAAACTTGGACAGAGCATGAGGTTAGCACGCAGTAAAGATAGAGTCTTTGTGTGACAACCCTGTTCCTTGTGGATTGCCTATTTTTATTGTGTTAACACAGATGAGATGCAGGACTATATGGAAGTGATATATGAAATGAATAGGAATATCTGTTGACTTTGAAGACTCTTTTTGTTCTGAACACACCACACTGGAGGCTGTTGGAATTAAAATTAAAAGTTAACTCTTGATAGTCCTAAAGATTTTTTCAGCCTAAAGATTTTTCCCTCTATCAGTAGCCTGAATCATACCTGAGAGGAGCTTCTAAGAAACTATTCTGCATATCATTTACTCCCTTGAATGGGATAGTCCCTTGACAGTCTGTGCAGTTGTCACTGATCCTCAGAATTAAGGGCCTGGTTTTCTCCCATTTGCAACAAAAAGTTGAGTGTAACTTATAGGCAAAGTAAAGAAATTTGAGTAATGATCTTCATTCAGACGCTTACTAATTGGCTTCAGGCAGCCAAAGCTGGTTTGAGCCAACTTCATCTGGTTCAGTTTCAACCAGCCAAAAGCTCTCCAGCTCATGAAAGTCAGAGATGAATCTTTGGTATGAACAGTTCAA